TTTTCAGTGCCTTAAAAAGAAAGATTCTGAATTTTTTTTTCAGTGGTGTAGACTTGTTCATTCTCCACAGACTGCAGAAATACAATATTACTTTTTGCCACCTGTTTGCTTAATTGCCCTTTAAGGTTTATTATAATGCCAAGCAATTAGGAAAAGTTGCTTTTACCTTCAAGCATTCTGGTAGTCAGAAGAAGTCATTTTCCTTTTCTGTACAACTAATTTATTATTTCCAAGAACTATTAGAAACTACACATATTGAAAAAGCAGTGGCACAGTATTTCCAAAATTAGGCCTATCAATATGGCTGAGACACCATATTGGCAGGCTAATGTTGTTGTTATGTACCTTCAAGTCAACTCCAAATTATGGCAACACTATCATAGGGTTTTCTTGGCAAGATTTGTTCAGAGAAGGGTTGCTATTGCCTTTTCCAAAGGCTGAGAGAGTGTGATTTGCCCTAGGTCACCCAGTGGGCTTCAATGGCTGAGCAGGGATTTGAACCTTGGTCCCCCAGAATCTCAGTCCAATATTCAAAGCTATGTACCACAGTGACTTCTAAGGCTGTGGTAAAATGAAATGAACAGACTTTTTATGACACCACATGCAGAAATGTGTTCTGTGTGGCACACATATATCTATTTACTAAATTTATATTAGCCACCTCATAACACAAATTCTCTGTGAGGTTTATAAAACAAATGCATAACTAAAATACAATTTAAAACAAAAATGTTCAAAAGTAAAACAAAATTAAAGTAGATTATAAATGGAGAGGTCCAGATTATAAAACAAGGATAAACAAGTTCCAAGGTCTGTTCCCCAGAAGACCCAAAGAGGGAGGAAAGGTAAAGACAAAACCAGAAATCCACTTGCAGTTGGCCGATTTTTAAAAAATTTACAAAATTTACAAAAGTGCTTAGGAGTTGCACCTTGTTTAAAAAATTAATCACCATTCTTGGATGTTTCTAGGAATTTTACCTTTTTTGAGTGGGTCTGAGAATTCATGCAAACATGGATTGAGGCCATCTGATTGCTATTCCTGACATAGGACATAAATAGTTGGGTAAATTCAATACAGACAATGAAGAACTAGAAATAGTCAAAGATTTGTCATACTTTATATCCATCAGTGACCAGAATGGAGATTACAGTCAAGAAATCAGAAGACTAGGAATGGTAAGGGCAGCAATGAAATATCTAGAAAAGATTGAAAAGTGCAAAGACATAAACTGAACACTAAAGTAAGGATAGTCCAAGCCATTGTTTTCCCCATCACCATGTACGAATGCGACAGTTGGACAGTGAAGAAAGCAAATAGAAAGAAAATCAACTCACCTGAGATATGATGCTGGAGAAGAGTGCTGAGAATACCATATGGATAGTCAGAAAATCAACAAATGGGTACTAGAGGAGACCAGGCCTGAGTTCTCCTTAAAAGCCAAGATAACCAAAATGAGGCTGTTATACTTTGGCCACCTCATGAGAAGACACAACTCACTAGAAGAGACAATACTGCTAGGAAATGTGTGGGATAGGAGAAAGAGAGCAAGGGCTCAAATTAAATGGATTGATTCAACCAAGGAGGCCATGGCCCTAAGCCTGCAGGACCTGAGCAGAGCAATTGAGGAGAGGGAGGCTTAGAGGTGTCTCACTCATGGGATCGCCATGGGTTGAAATTGTCCAGATGGCAGTTAACAACAATAGCAATGAAAAGGTCTTTATGTGGTATTGAACCATAAAGAGGGCCCCAGGCAAGTTTCTTTGGGAAAGCTCTTTGAAAACCAAGGCACTCTTCCTAGTGGATCTGTGTGTGCTTTCAAGGCACCCATAGACTTATTGTGATTTTATGAATTTAATAGGGTTTTCTTAGGCAAAGAATACTCAGAGGTGGTTTTGCCAGTTCCTTCCTCTGGAATATAGCCTAAAGCAACTGGAATTATTTGGTGGTTCCCACTCCAAATATTAACCAAATTTCATCCAGCTTGGCTTTCAAGATCAGATGGAATCTGATGCCTTCAGGGAATTTAGGCTCTTTCCAAGTAGCTACTTAATTTTAAGTTTGCAGGGGCACTTAGAAATTACCCTTTGAAAAAGATAAAAAGGATGAAGGGGGGAGAAGGAACATAGCTGCACCTTTAAAACTAATCGGTTCTTATTTCAGCATGTGCTTTTGTGGTTATAAACACACTTTTTCAGATGCAGTAAACTCTGTGGCTTTATACCCATGAAAGATTTGTCAAGAGACTAACATGGTTATTTCTTTGAAAGAGATCTTATGTTTTGGAAGGTCAACATAAGAGACTGCCATGCTTTTGGTCTCCCTCTTAGTTGTCATGGTGCATAGAGAAGAACATTATGGAGTAACTAGAGATTTTGGGTGGACATGCTCTATGAACTGCTTCATGAAGGAGTGAAAGATCCTCCAAGGGGTCTACCTCAAATATGCTTAGTGGGAAAGAACATTATGGCTACTAGAAACAGTATTTATGAATATGTAAAGCTGCCTTATAGTAATTCAAACCATTGGCCCACCTAGTTCACTATTGCCTGTACTAAATCACTATAGGGTTTCAGAGTTCAGGGATTTTCCCAGGCCTACCTGGAAATGCCAAAGATTAAATCTAGGAACCCATCTGTGGCTTATACCACAGGTTTATTTCCACATATAGGCATATATTAGCAATAGCACTGACATAATCATTCTGGATCTGAGGGCCAGATAATAAGACAAGGTTGACTAGGCTTTAAACATATCAGTTGAAAAAGTAGGCTGTATGAGATGGGGCAATAAATTCCCACCCTAGTCTAAATCATTGCTTTCTCTAAAGCTATTGTTAGTCTTGTGAGTTCCCATATACAGTGGCAGCTGGTGGCTCACATGTCACTGGGGCAATAAACCCACTCTGTTTTTGACAAGCAAAGAGCTATTCAAGGTGCTGAATTTATTTTGGGGATAGGGCTCAGCACCTTGGAGAACTCCATTAGACCTATCAAAAAGCTGGAGCCAGTTCACCACAGGTGCATCTACACTATAGAAATAATGCAGTTTGACAACACTTTAAGTGCTGTAGCTCCATCCCATGGAATCCTGGGATGTGTAATTTTACAAAGTCTTTAGTTTTCTCTGCCAAAGAGTGCTGATGTTTCACAAAACTACAAATCCCAGGATTCTGTAAGATGGAATCATGGTAGTTAAAGTGGTGTCAAACTGCATTATTTCTACAGTGTAAATGCATCATGCCACTCTGACATGGAGACCACCAGGTGCCACTGCCTTTATGTTTTCACCCATGGAGTGCTTTGCAGCTCTGAGAGTGGTTTTGACTGAGGAATTGGCATTCAAAGGAGGGTTAAGCTCTTCTGGTAGCATTGTTAGAGTCAGAATTGTAGTGCCTTACAAGCACATACAAGTAAAGCTAAAAATGCTAGCAGATCAAGTCATGAATCTTCAGTGTAAAGTGTAGTTTGGTCCTCAGGGTAAAGCACCAGAGGCATTTTTGGCCTCTCTCTAACATCAGTTGCAACAAATATCTGGGACATCTTTCCTGACAATCCCAGGACCTTTATGCAGTACATTGCTTGTCAGCTGTAAGGAATCAATTTCTCTGGCTTTGTTGTTGCTGTTGCTTATGCTATGCACACAGGACCAAACATCTGAAGAGCAACTTTCCCATCATTTTGTTATTTGGGATGATGGTTGAGAAAATGTTTCAACAATAAATACTAATAAAGTAAATTAGAGGATCAACAGCAGTAAACACTGCAAGTGTTTTATTTTTCTGGATTTGGATGGTTTTCAATACCACTCTCTTATGCATTTTATTAATGAAAGCATTTAATTTATATTCTACAATGTTGTTTATCATATTATTTTTAAACATATGGATATTTGTTTGTTTACATTGTATGCAACTTTTTGGATTGACACTTATCTATAAAAGTAGGATAAAAATACTTTAATAAATACACATTTAGGTTTAAATCCTGTTGTTTGTCCAAACTGGAGAAGAACCATTAAATCAATTGGATTTACCTATGCATTGACTCATCACTCAACAATTGGTTTGTTGGGTCTATTCTAGTTTAGACTAACCAAAAGATTCCAGTTAAATTGCTTTCAACTTAGGTTGAATCTGCACAGCAGAAATAATCCAATTTAATACTGTCATAGTGCCATCCTATGGAAACCTGGGATCTAAAATTTGTTGTGGTAGCAGAGCTCTCAGACAGAGAAGGCTAAATATTTCACAAAACTACAAATTTCGGAATTCCATAGCATGGAGGCATGGCAGTTAAAGTGGAGTCAAACTGCATTATTTCTGCAGTGTAGATGCAGCCCTAGCCTCATTTCCTCAGATTCTTTTATTGGTTTTAAAAAGTACCCTCTCAGTTTTTACATCTCTTCCCTAATTCTAAAGTAATATTTTTCCCAAACTTTTTGTGTGCATTCTTTTTTTTCTTCTCCTTGCTGCAGGTGTGTTCAGAATGATGAGTATATTTATATGACCTTTGCTCCTGAACTGATTGCCATTGAGTTGGGATCAAAGAAACAGGGGACCGTATTTTGCTTTTCCTCACTACATGCCAATAGTCCTTTGTAGATGAGGTCACCTGAACATGCTTGGGTCAAAATTCAAAGACATAGCCGTGTTAGTCTGGAAAATCAGTATTCAAAGGGATCTTGCAGCACCTTTGAGACTAACTGAAAGATTTTAAAACTGAACTTCTCACCTTATCTCCACACCAAAATTACACACAGTTTTGCATTCCTGTGGAAATTCTCATACACAGACTACTATACAGTCTGTCCTTGTGCTTTCCCTTCCACCAAATGCATCTGAGGAAGTAGGCTCAAGTTTACAAAAACTCATGCTACCAACTTCTACCTTTCAGTTAATTTCAAAGTTCCTGCAAGATCCCTTTGAATGCTTGGGTCACTCTACCAAGCCTATTCCTTCCCTCAACACAAATTAACACTTGCTATGACATATTATGGGAGAGCCAGCATGGTGTAGTGGTCTGAGTGTTGGACTGTGACTCCAGAGATCAGGGTTCAATTCCCCACTTGAGCATAAAAACCTACTGAGTGGCCTTAAGCAAGTCACCACCCTCTCAGACTCAGAGGATGGCAATGGCAACCTCCCTCTGATGAAACCTGCCAAGAAAACCCCTATGATAGGGTTGCCTTAGGGTTGCCATAAGTCAAAAATGACTTGGAGACACACAACAAACAACAACATGACATATTATAGTATTGACTTCCCAGGTGAACATGTTGTACACACATGCACCCATTATGCACCATTAGTTTTTAGAGAGCTTTTGCAGGGTGAGTTGTTTTGTACCATTTTTATGCAAAGGCACAGGATCTCTACCCTTCCTACAGACATTCTCCTCTTTTATATCCAGTTCCAACCTTAGCAGTCTGCATTTGGACAAATGAAGTTTGCAAACAGGATATAGGTCTAACCATTTTAATGGGCTTCTAGTGTGCCACAGAAGGAGCTCTTGCATATGCAATGAGGGATCAAAGGACTTAATGCAAGTGCAGACTGCTTTTTTCTTCTATGCTCTAAGGAAGGAAGCAGTTCCTTGGTGATGTTTACTAGCTTTCATTATCTCAGCCCTGCCCAAGGCTCTCTAGGGCACACTCTGGTCTCTCAATGTGTCCTCCTTTAACTGTGCTTCTTACCTTTTTCTCTCTGTGCTCAGCTAATCAAGTGATGGCAGAGATGTGAATAGCCAATCTTAAATCATTCTGGTTTTCCCAAGTTCCTCTGCAGTTTTTTGATAGAACATATGGCAATGTTATGTCTATTTGAAAAAGCCTTTGCATCATATGTTTATACAACTGCTCAGTATCCCCAGACAAAAATTCCTTTCTTGTTATTGCCCATTTGCTGACTAAAAGCATTATCTTCTTCATGTATTCTCATAGCTTACCTCCATACCTTACGTGTTTGATTATGTAGCCCTCAGTCCATAACCCATATGATCAATTCACTACATAGTGTTACACTACTTGTATTTTTAAAAATTCTCCATTCTTTTTGAAGCACTGCTCATTTTCATATTTATTCAGTCCCATGCACAAGCTTACCAAGGTCAGAGTATGCTTAAAGTGTTAGATCATAGCATTATGATCCTTCATAATTTGCCTGCTCACTTTAATTATAAATTCATCATAGACTTGTTTTGTTTTTGTTTTTTGGGCTACATTCATTACTGCCTACACAGGCATTATGGATGTGGTTAACCTACATGTGTTTTCTGAAGAAGAGAGACTCTTTTATACATGGATGTTCTCCATATGATTTGAAACATTAAATGGGAAATCATTTTCAAAAATCATATGGAGTGCTTACATGGGTAGGGAAGACTCTTATTTTCATATAAGAACAGCAGTTGAAATGGCAATGGAAATGGCAATGGAAAGGAGCAGTCAATGCATTTTCTTTCCCCTTATGTGTAAGGTAGCCACTTCTTTAACATTTGAATACAATTTTCTCTATCTGCAACCAAATTTTATTATTCATATATATATTTATTTTTACCTCCAGAAGCTATTTTGATAATCTAGTTTTAGTTTTAAATGTAGGAAACACTGAAAGCCTGCAGCCAAGTCTACTTTTCCCCCCTTTTACTGTCAGATCAGAGCTACTTTAATTTAAAGAAAGCAATGCAGTGAAGACTGTACTTCAAACCAAAACAGGGATGTGTGTCATTCTACAATGACATGACTGCTCTAATTACATATACCTGTATATATCCAGTATTTGCCAAAAACAGCATGAGTGGGCAAACAGCCAAATCTTGCTTTGTATGAATAGCTGGAGAAGACACCCATTCCTTTTTGCTCCCTCTCTCTTTGGGAAAAACACCTTTCCAGATGGAGGCATACACCTGATTAATGACCTATTCAAACCCACCAGACATGTTACCATCAAATGCATAGGTTTTAACATCACTTTGTACCACGCTGGAAAATAATGCTATATGTTTTTAAAATCCTGTTTCCTGAAGAAGTGTGGTAAGTCCCATCCTTTCCTGAAATTACCTGGAGTCTTGGGATGAAAGCCGCCTCTTGTGTTTGCATTCACAGAAGAATATATTGTTGGATTTTTTTCTTTTTTCTTTTATTGGGCATGGCTGCTAACATCACACTTTTTACTCCATATTATCTTGTGCTGTAATGTTGCATGCACTTTGAGAATAATTGTGTAAAAGAAGATTTTCCTTTCCTTTCTGCAACATGAAACTTGATTTCAGAACCTAGTACGTTAAACAATTTTCCCAGGCTGTTCTTACTACCATCATAGAACAGGGAAACAATGTAAAACACTCCCAGCTACTACTTTTATATCCCTTTTTAATATTCTACTTGTGTCTTAAAAATAACTTTCCTTTTAATGTTACATGCAGGTCTCATTTGTATTTTGCCCTTGAATAGTAAAAAGACTGCAAATGCATTTGTATTTATGACAAGGTGGATTCATATTCAAGTAAATCAAGTGGATTTCTTCACATGATCTTTCCCATATCCCCCAAAAATGCTGCACAAAAAGTCAAGGAGGTGTGGGGGGGCTACCACTGCTTGAAGCTTGACATAGATCTACTGTAATATTACACTGAGCTACCACTTTTCAACTGGCATCCAGAAAACAGCATATGATATAAATGTTTTAAAACAATATGACAAACCATTTACAGATACAGAGTTTTACAATAGTCAAAATAATAAGAACAAGTGGGGAAAAATGCAGCTGGAAAATGGTTAACTGACAGTGGGATCAGATGGTGATTCAAAACTCCTTTGCCCTGTTTATAGGCACCAGATCCTGTCTGATCTTGGAAGCTAAGCAGGTTGAGCTCTAGTTAGTATTTGGATGGGAGACTGCCAGCAAATACCAAGTTCTGCTGGGTATATTTTGGAGGAAGGAACTGGCAAAGCCACCTCTGAGTATTCCTTGCCTAAGAAAACCCTATAAAATCCATGGTGTCACCAAAAGTTGACAGGAGACTTGAAGACACATACACGCAACAAAGAAGGAAACAAATGAGAGAAAATTCTAGCTAACTACAGGGTTCCCCCCCCCCAAAAAAACCTTTCTAAGCCAGCATCCATAAAAGCTGTACCCTGAAGCAGTAGATGAGGTTCAAGAAGTTCCCATATAAGAAAGAATTACTCTGTAAGCATAATTATTGGGCATTTATTTGGACATTTATTTGCAATTTAAAAAATAATAAATTTTAAATCCATGGCATCAATGGCACCCATATGAGATTTTGTAAGTCACAGGTGAGAATGAGAATCTTTCTAAAACAACAACAACAATGGCTAGAAGCCTGTTAGTCTAAATTAGAGTAGAATCAATTGAATCAATTGTTGAGTGGTGGGTCAAATTCACAATAAATAGGAGATATGTCATATGGATATTGGGGGGAAAACAAACCCTGAAACCTACAGATACAACTCCTGCCAAATTCTGAGGCTTTTGCCCAGTCTAGACAAGCCCACACCCTCCCTGTCATTGAATGACAATCAGATTATCAAGACTGGAAGATATCAATTACAACTTTTTAAACCAGGTTAAATTGTTATACATGCTGCTGAAGACAGTCTGTTATTGAAACTGTCTATAAATGCTGTATTAGCTATTTTACAATGTCTGATAGTATATGAAAGCTGGTGTGCTGTAATTTGTATTGCTTTCAAAAATGTTGTATTTATTACTGCAGTGTGTTTTACTGCTGATCCTGGCTCTAAATTTCTTTAGGCATCTATACTTTGTAAGGTGCCGTCAGTGCATTTAGGTAACCAAAAGGACTGTGTATTCTTGGACAAATGCAGCTTCTGGCTAGAATTAGAACTTGATTGATGGAAACTGGGGTTTATCAGGAGTGTGAAGACTCCAGAAGAAAAGAGCCACTGGGAGAATAATTCAGCAAGTAGACAATGTGCATGAAAAATCAGTGACAGCTGTGCCCAGATGTAACATTTTAAAAATACTGGTTCTGACCTGCTGGATTCTTACATCTAGATTGTGGGCTTGTAGTATACAGAGAATCACTTCTTCAAAAACTGCGTTGTTTGCATTTTCATCACTGTGTGGCTGAGAAAGAAGAATGTTGCATTACTTCCACCATATTTTCTGATACTGTACTTTCATCCATTAATCATGATTGAGCATTATTTCTATGACTTCATGGGGTTCCCTATCAAAGTGTCTTTAAATGTTTTATAAAATGGTGGCTTAATCACTTGATCCTGAAAACTTCTTGGAATCTGTCATTCCAAATCATTAGCTAATGCACTGCAAAAGTCTTATTGGAGCTAAACCATTTCATATGAAAAGCAAAACTGTCAGCCTGTGGGCCATGCTAACTTTGCATCAAGAAATAATAAAACCACATTCTTGCTTCTAGTGCAACTAGCTTAAGGCACATATTTGATGGCTTAGCTTTTCGTGAAATATTTCCATTAGGTTCTATCAATATAACTGTAAGAAAATTGACCTGAAGCACTAACACTAACTCTCCTATTCATCCTTGATTGTATGCTTCTAGATCACTCACAGGATGAAAATCATTAAAATAACCCAGAACTGTGCTTAGTACAGTCTTGGTAGAACTTGAACTTGAGGGTTTCTAAAACGTATTAGCAGTCCTGTACACTCAGCCCTCAAATGCTTTGTCTCTGTTTTCTTCCCAGTGTTGTATGAGAGTTCCATTCCCTTTTCACAGCCTTTTCAAATGAGCAATACTGTACTTCCCTGCATGAGTTACAGTTTGTTTGAAGTTCAAGATCCTACAACTCTATAGATTCCTGCAGAGTTACCACATTGAAACCTGGAGATGGCTCCTGTACTTTTAATGACTGTGTAGAAGTGGGTATTTCAGCAGGTATTGTTTGTCACATATCCAGGTAATAAGCAACACCTGCTGAAATATCCTTCTACACAACTATTAAAGGTATAGGAGCCCTCTCCAGTTTTCATTCTGGTAACCCTATCTATTATTGACCACTTGATGTTTCCACTTCTTGATCTTAGTGTAGACTGCTTCTTGGCTC